AAAAAAGAGTGCTCAAGTTTAAGTACCAATCGTTTCCGAGCGATACTTTCGTCGGAAGTTAGCGAAATGACCAAGCTTGCTGCGGAAGATAGTGACCTCTTTGGTGCTGCCTTCGTGAATGCACTCTTGATAGCGCCAACGACATCTGTGGACAATACATGGGTCTTTGTGACTGCTCTCTTGTCTGGCGAAACCCGCGTGTAGTATTGTCTTTCCCTCACAAGTTTGATCAGAACGAGCGAATAGCCAACACCGACACATGTAAGACCGAAGGCGGCTAGTCTAAAGATTGCTACCGGAGGGTCTACGAACTGCCAAAACGATCCACTTTCAAATGTGCTTGTGTCCATGATACGATTGACCATGCCGTTTGGTGCGACATTAAGGAGGAGGAGCCACACAGTCCAAGCCAAACATAAAGCCACGATGGATGCAAGGATAAGTCGAAGTCCAGTGAAGTTTACATGAGAGTCGACAAAATCAGTTGAAACCCTCGGTGTTCCATCATCACCAGCAGCACACCTTTTAGTATCCTGAGATATAGCAGCATGTGATGTTGATTTAGCTTGTACCAACACTGGCCCTACAATGGTGGGATGAGACCGACTCGATGGGGTGAACTCCTGGACATCGCTAGCCATTTCTCTCCGGTGATGCTTTCTGTCGAGCGTTCACTATTCACTTGTCCAACTATTTTAGTTATGCCCCCCCCCAGGAGCAGCTCACGACGTTAGAAGATAGGCTACTAGTACAAGTTTTTTTTTTCAATCAGGCTACGTACATTAGATCAACGAAATTCTCCACCAGCACTGCTTGTTTAAGTGGAAGAAACATCAGAATAGCACACCAAAGCGCATTTGCTGCGACAATTACGGTGAACACAGCGACGAGTGCGATTGGCAATCCGTTTTCGAGTATCTGAAGTAGCATTACTGTTTGGATGAAGAGGTCGACGAATTTCATGCAGAGATTCTGTCGTGGTTAATCGAATGCAAGTTAGTTAGAACCCCTGAAGCAGCAAAAAAGAGTGCTCAAGTTTAAGTACCAATCGTTTCCGAGCGATACTTTCGTCGGAAGTTAGCGAAATGACCAAGCGTGTTTGGATTCATCCACTCAGCATACGTTTTTGGTGC